AAGCCAAGGGCTATTAGGATATGTTCTTTCGTAAGAAAGTAGATCTTGTACGTGAAACACGATCGGAATCACATAATACTCTTAAAAAAAGGATCTAATCAATATTTGAATAAATCATATAAGCGTATCAAGTTAGAAAAAGAGGAATGTTCGGATTCCAAACACAGATCATTAAAGAAAAGTAGAGCAATGTACTCTAATTTATCACGATGCAATTTGAGCAGGAGAGAATAAATGATCGTTTTATAAAGCAATTGCAAAGCATATCTGGGTGTGAATGCGATAGGAAAGAAAATATAGCTGTAGAGATGATTTCGGCTAAATTTGTGGCTAGCAAGTTACCCCATTATAAAGGAAGATGAAGTGGTAGAATGATCTGACCTAAAAAAATCAGTCCCGTCGAGCTTAAGAAGCGAAAACTGCTCTATCAGTTGATTTAAAATGTAAGCTTCAATGCAAATCGTGGAAAAGATAATAAATGGTGCCAAATCATACTGACCCATAACCCTTTTATATATGTATTAAGTGAGACCTACCGGTAATAAGAGATACTCCAGCTGCGAGATGCTTGACCATTAGAGTCGCTGCGTGTGTCATACGTGCAGGGTCTGGATCAAGGGCAAAGTCTTTACGAATTATCGCGTTCACCGTAGGGACCGCAATACGTGCACATCTATCGTAAATAGGAGTGATAAGCTCACTAATAGTTCGTAAAATTGCAGGGGCGATCATCGCTTTTAGACGAGGATAGGTGTTGAGAAGAACACGAGCAGCCATCTGGCCGGAGGCAGACGAGCCAACAACACTAGTACAGATAGTTCCAATGGAGTTAGTAGACGCCGAAGTAGTATTAGAAGCATTAACGACAGATGCTGTGCTGCTATTACTGGTAGAACCCACGGAAGTGGGGGTCGCAGAAGCTCCTGTAGACCCCATCGAGATAGGGTTGGCAACTGAGGTGTTAAGTCCGTTAGCAACACTCGGTTGACCAGGCAGTGAGAGACCTGAACTAGTTTGACCAGTTAGAAGGAGATCATTACTAAGACAGGCGCGTATTGAAGCCAGACTCACTTCATCGTAGCGGAAGAGTTTGGTGCCGCTGCGAGAGCCGTTTAGATTGGCATCTAGTCAAGTAAAAAAAATAGCCAGTAGATTTATAAAAGATTAATGGAAGACAGGATTAATAAGTGTATTGTGTTGTAATGCCTGTCAATTCGTTTGAAATGCCAATGGTAAGGGTTTATAGATTAGCTCTGTTTAGAACCGCGTCAGTGAAAAAGAATTTTTTTAAAATCTCCTCGTGCTAAATACGAGAAAGGTGTCTGGATGTAATCACATTTAATTAAATTTGTCAGATTATGATGAGGTCGGATATTTCATATCTGCCTTAGATGTTTGCGAATAGGTGACTGTGGATGCGGTTATGACCAAATTGCTAAATCATAGTCTAAAGTTTAGGCATCTAAATATATAAATATAAATATCAATATCAAAAATAAATAAATATATATATATATAGAGAGAGAGAGAGAGACGACAATCTAATAATACGCTCGAATCTTGACAATTGTAAGAACTTCAAACTTTCCCGCATCTAACGTAATTTAATTGAATATATGAAGACCAAGATGTTGTGGCCTCTGGTGTGGTTGCAGTCTCCTTTCGATTAATAGAAGTGGGTTGACCTTGTTGTCGCAACTTGGTCTTGTTGTCAGGGTTTGTCAAGGGATTGACTTCACTTGTCTCTTTGACGAGTTCGTGGCTTGGTGCGGCGAATGACAAAACTCACTGATGATGCCGACTACGATGCCGGCGAAACGTTTGAGAATGTCATTCCACTGTCAGATGCTGGGAATCATGACAACTACTATGGCAGACAACTTTGGACTAGGTGCGTTCTACATGGTCTCTCTGAAAACAAGACCAAGTTGGGACAACGAGGTCAACCCACTTTTAACAAAAGCAAGCCCAGAGAAGCAGAGGAATAATACTATAAGACCAGGCGTGACATGAGATGAATAGGATCAAGGGGCCCATCGTTTTGAGTAGATTTCGATGCAAAGCGGTCATAAATTAGCTCAGCCTTAAACTATCAGATGGATTACTAT